GGAACCACGTATCCCAGCACAAAGGAGCCCTACCTGCTACACTGTGGTATACTGTGGGCAAAATGGGAGAACAGGAGTCAGGCAATGGGGAGAGGAAAACCCACAAAAAAAGTGGTGGTGTTGCTACTATGCTCAGTGGAGACACTTGTTCTGGTCCCACTGCAGGCCAGTATAATGACAGGAACATAACTGTTACTCAGCCACTAGGTCCTAGAACTCCAATTCAATGAGCACTCCCAGTGGGGTGAGGAATTCAAGTGCCTTAGGCAGCCAAGCACATAAGTAAATAAACCAAGCACTAGGGACCCAGCAAGTTATGAAGCTCTACCCTGCCTAGAAGTTCAAATTCAGTTTCTTGGGGTGGACACACACATATCCACACATTCATCATGTAGCTGGACCAAGACACCACTTGGCAATTTCTGACACAGAAGGGATCCCGGGTCTTCCCACACCATGTGCTCTCTTGTACACACGCCAGTCATCTTATGTGACACGATTCTGTCTACGTCCACCCTGAGCATCCTGAAGACGAAGGCTGTCACTTACACTGTGCAGCCACCTCAAGGGACCCGGAACAGCGCTGCAACAGTGAGCACCTGGTGAACTAACTCACCCTGACTGACAGTTCCAGTCCTGTATCCCAAGCATCTCTGAGATCCTACAGGTCATGGAAAGTTTTCTGCCCCGACCCTGGGACCACGCTACATTAACACAGATGGACTAAGGAATGGTGACTTGGTCAGAGGACTTGCCTTGTGGGTTTTTCTTTTCCTTTTGAGTTGGAGTCTCACTACACTGCCCAGACTCATTTTGAACTTCTGTATTCAGGGGATCCTTCTGCCCCAGCCTCCATAGTGCACACCTCCAAACCCGGGACAGGTTTTCCTTAACTATGCTCACTTGTAAGCCACCTAGGAAGACATGAAGACACAGAGAATGCTAGAATATACTAAATATTGGTGCAATTACTTTTTTTAAAGTCTAGTCCCCACAAACCACACCCCAAACTTTCTCGGTACCTCTTAGACATAGCATTAAAACACAAAAAGTATGAGATTCAAGAGTAACAAACAAACTGGGCATGGTGATAAATGCCTTTAACCAGGGGCCAGCCTGGTCTACAGAGTAAATTCCAGGACAGCCAGGACTACACAGAAAAACCCTATCTTGAAAAACACCACACACACAAACATACACAGAGACACACACATACACCATCCGCCTGTTAAAAAGAACAACAGATGGAGGCCCTAGCCCTGGCTCCTTCGCTCACAAACTGTAGAATGAATCTGGACAGGTAAAATCTCTCAGGAACTTGGCTCTTTTTAATTTGTAAATGTGAATAACGAGTCTCCTCCAAAGACCATAATGCATTAAACACCCTCACATACACACAGCACTGAGCACTTCCAGCCAGCGCAGCCACCATAGTCTTGTGGTTTCGGGCCACTTGACAAACGACTGCTGCTGTGCCTCTGTGAGCAAGAAGGGCTGTCCCAAGTGCAAAGTACACACCAGAGTTCAAGAAGTTAGTGCACGCACACAAAGTCAACAACTCCATTAACACGGTTTTACATTGATTTTGTGAACTATTAATTATATACTGAGACATACGAAACAAGACATTAGTAAGTTATTTTCACTTGCTTATTTTACATTCTCGAGATGTGACTATTGGAAAAGTTTAATTAACAAATGTGACTTGCATTATTTTTCTTTGAGAGAGTCCGGGGTGAGCCTACTGCCTGACACACAGGAGCATACCAAAAGGTGGCTTTCATGCCCCACAGATGGGATGTCAGGGGCTGCCCTTGCATTCCTTTGGACATATCCAAGCCCTTCGTTCATTTATTTAGTAAATATTTATAGTGCCTGCCCTGCTGAGATGTTGTGGGTGCATGGAGCAACATCAGGTCCGGTCCTTCTACCTGCTAGGACAGGAGACATCAATCAACACTTCAAACAGTTATAAAGCTACAGAAGTATAAGTGCTGGGAGGGACATCAGAGCGTTCAGAGTGTGGCACCCGGATCAGAACTCGGGACCCCGGAAGCCTCCTGAAGGAAGACTGGGAGGATGAGAAAAGTTTACTAGAGAGAAGTATACCGAGAGAAGGACTCGGAGGGAGGCCAGAGAAAGGGATGCAGAAGGAACAGAACCAGGCCGAGGAGCAGCATGAGTTCAGCGAGGGCGGCGAAGGACCAAATCTGCAGGGCCCGGGAAAGAGAGGAGGGTGGAGACTGGTCCCGGAGCATCCCTCGACATTGCAGCGCTGCGAGAAGAAACGGATGAGAGCGGCCTGCACCGAAGCAGGGCGGCGGAGAAGGAAAGGAGAGGGCCGGTATCGACGGCAGGGGGATGACCGGGCCAGCGCCGTGCCCAGGCTTGGAGCTCAGGCAGCCACTGCCCTCGGCTTCAACCCCATCCTCGGTCCCGGGTCTCCCATTCTCAGTGCTCCGTCCCTCCGCCCCCGGCCCCGCGCGCCCCACACTCACCCGGCGCCCGCCGAGGCCCAGCTCCGCGCCCGTGT